GGTCCTCCCGGGCCGGCGGGCTCGCGCTCCCACGACGGCGGCCCAGGCCTAAGCCAGTGGGGCGGCGGTTGGGGGGGCGGTTGGCGGGAGGAGAATGTTTTCCAAAGTTACCTTGCTTGGAGACACCTTTGTTTGAGTAGGGGTTTGGGTGGGGTGACTTTTTACAAAAGGAAAAAAGGAGAGGTGGAAAGGACTGGAAGATTCTGGGGGCTTTTAACGGTTAGCAGCAGTATCTTCCTTTACTCTTTGCAAAGGAAAAAATGGCTCCCGGTAGGCGTAACAGTGGCGCCTTCTCCGGACCGCGCGGGCACGAAACTAGTACTACTGCGCATGCGCACTTCTGGCTCCTTTCCCAGAAGACCTCCCTTCTACGTGTCCGACGGCCTGCGCCTGTGCGCCTCTTCCCGCCATTTTCTTGGGTTAGAGGCTTCTGTAGAATTTACCGACGGTTGACTGTGACTGCGCATGTGCAACCCCTCCCCTGCAGTTTGAGGCTCCTCCCCTCGGCTATGTTTTGGCCAATGTGTCTGTACACCTTTCCCCACCCTTTTCCTGGGTGTAGCTTTGGTACCGCGCGCTGGAGAACCATTCGGTCTGCTGAGATGTTGCTGTTTCCTACCCTTACCTTGTGCAGCAGTATTATTACCTACATTGTGCTCTTTCGGTATTAAAGTATAATTTCAAGTTACCTGTTGATTTGAGGCTTTTATAAAAAGCAACTCCTTTTGGGTGCAGACACATATTTCCTTGGTCTTGACTCAAGGGCACAGGCTTGAGTCAGGCAGGGAGGCTGCTCACCCTTAAACTTGGACAAGTTCCTTTTTTTAGCAGTAGCGTCTCCCCTCCTTAAGCCAAGGGAATTGGTCTGGATGCTGCTGAAGGCCATTTCTACCTTCTGCGACTTACTAAGAAAACCTAGGTTACCCAAGGAACTGTCAGATGAGGCAGGTAGAACAGCCTCCATACAGGAGGTTACCTGTCCAAGGATGTGGGTGCTTTTCTTTGTTCTGTCTCTCAACAAACAGGAACTGAGCATTTACAGTGCGAGACACCAAGAGTATGAAGCAGTCAGGATGAGAGAGTCATTCTGATTGCCCTCAGGGAGTTTGATCAAAGACTCACACAAATCAGTGTGTAGAGCTCTAATAATTGGTAATTTAGTTGTGGTCTGAAGGTAGAGCTGTATGCACATACTCCTTCACTTACCATGGGGCTACCTCCTGATCAGCCCCTTGTAAATCGAAATCTCCTGAGTCAAAAATGTATTGACTACATGTAACCTACTGAACACCCTACCTTAGCAACGCAGTTCACTGTAGAGTAGCAGTTATTTCCCCTGGCCAGGCCCCAAGGACCTGTGACTTGTGGCCGCTGCCCAGAATCTCAAGGGAGTATCTTACTGCACATCATGAACCCAAGAAAAAGATCAAAAGTCAAAGTTTGGATCTACTGAATGCATAAGCTTTTGCACCATCATAAAGTTGAAAAATTATTAAATCAGCACAGATCGGGCGTTGTCTCTACTGAGGATTTAAGCAGAGTGAAGTTAGAAGAAAAAGTCCTCCATGCCTACAAAGGCCTTGAGACAGATACAAGAGCAGTGGTTGAAGGTTTAAAGACCAGTGAGGTCAAAAGCACAGTATAAAAGGTTTTATAGTTGAACACGTGTGTTTATTTTACTGTCACCCTTGCTCTTTTTCCCAGCTGTGTTTCTTTATACTAATAGTTTATCTTAGTTTGTTAAAAAGAAAGTTTTTAGTATTATCTATTTGTTTCTTTTTTGTGGGAATCTTTCTGTTTCGATTTGTGTCTCTTTTTTTGGTACCAGGAATCGAACTCAGGACCTTGTACTTGCCATACAGGCACTTGTGTCGCTGAACTATATCCCCGGCCTCAGCTGTGTTTCTAACGCTTCCCTCATTGTTTCCTCTCTCCAGGGCACCCTCTGAGCATCAGCTCAGACTCTGTGGTGGGAGCTGAGTACCTGGAGAGAGAGCCTTCCAAGCTGTACCTTGGCTACTCCACCATGTACTCCTGCTGCCAGTTCCCACTGGGCTGCCAGGATGCATCCCCAGCCATGCAGAAGGGCTACCAGCATGCCCCCTGCACTGGCTACCGAGCAGGACTGGTGAGTCCTGCCCTGACTCCTTGCCAGGTTCCTCCTATCCCTCTGGAACCCAGGTGCTGTCTGCTGCCCTTGCTGCCTTTGTGGGTGCTGGCCTAAGCCAGTTACCACCCTCCAGTGGTGTGCCTCTGGGAGTCACATGTGCAGGCAGCTCTGCATGCCTGGGCCTGGCCTGAGCGTGTGCTTTTCAGAGCTGGAGCAAAAGGCTCCGGGATCCCAGGAGTGACCTTTGCCCTTGACTTCTGCAATGCAGATACCAGAAGGCCCTTCATTCTGCTAGCACCAGAGAGGGAATAACAGTTTCCTGGAGCTGCAAAGTTCATGGCAGGGCCAAGACTAAATGGAGGTCTCCTGCCCACAGCTATAGAGGGCTGTCAGGAAGAGGTGACATTTATGCTAAGTTAGGAAGAATATGGTAAATGTCCCCAAGCACTTGTCAATTTAACCTTAGGAGATACTTGTAGAAAGAATAAGTAAAATTTAATTCTTTTATAATATTACTAACTGAGGCCAGACGTGGTAGCACACACCTATAATCCTAGCACTTGAGAGGCTGAGGCAGGAGGATCACTGTGAGTTTGAGGCCAGCTTGGGCTACAGAGTGAGTTCAAGGCCAGCCTGAACTGCATAGTGAAACCCTGTCTCAAAAAGACAAAAGAAAAAATTATTAACTAGTGCTTTCTTTAAGCCTGGAGTTTTGAACACCGGTGTATAAAAGGTAAGGTCACTTCTGCTGTGTGGAGTATGAGGCAGGTGTGACCATGTTTGTGGCCTTGGTTAGCAGCTCTCTCCAGACTAGGGTGGTTAAAAGGTTAGCTTTTGGTAATCTCTGAGGCCATCAGGACTGCAGGAGGGCAGCGGCTGGCTGACCAGGCCTGACTTAAGCCCTGTGAAGCTGGACCTGCCGGTGGGTAGGTTCAGACACAGAGCAAGTTCACAGAAACAGTGACCACCATTACCCCTTCTATCCTCAGCACAAAAGCATGACCATAGGTATCTATTAAGGTGTTTTCCAAGAGAGAAGTGAGGAGACGGGGAATTGATTACAGAGGAAGGGGATGAGGAAGAAAGACAGCAGCTTGGCATTTAAGTGCTGGAGATCATTGACCGCAGAGTGGGAGCAGGTCCATGGGGTCAGCTGAGCAGCCAGGTCAGGCCCACAGGGCACTGATCCTCACTCCAGCCCAGCAGCATCTGTTTTAGATTTTGTATATTTTTTTACTCATATATCATTTGCTATCTATTAAAAGAAAAAAATGTTTGAAAGCCATTGGTCTTGATAATTTCCAGGGTTCCTACTGACCCTTATGCGCTGTCAAGGTACATGTTTTTACCCCAGTGTAGAGTCACGAAAACGGGGTTCAGAGAAGTTAAATTTTTGTCCAAGGTCGCAAGAGTGTGAATGCAGGACTGGGACGCACATCGTACAGTAGGTTAGACCACTGTTGTCTAAACTCTGGAGCCCAGGTGCTTTCTGCAACCTCAAGGATGCCCCTCATGCAGACATGGAGCTCTTGGCTCTTGACCACCATTGGCTGCCCAGCAGGAAAGATGTGCTGCCTCTGGCCACCCCACCGCAGCCCAGGGAGAGCAGGGCATCTCCGGTCTCCACACAAAGAAGGGCTGTGCCCAAGCGGAGCCCGAGCCATGGCGCCATCTGCTTGCACAGAAGCCCACGGCCTGGTGTCCAGGCAGGGTGCTGACGGACAACCCTGCCAGCCAGCCTTTGCTGAGAGTGTGATCACAGGCAGTTTATCTGGGCTGAGCTGCACCACATCGGATGGCGCTGCCACGGAGGTGTAAACACCCAGTGGGGAGCACCTGGCTGGAGAATGAGACACATGTTTGATCCGCCCACCTGGCTAACGTTTGCCTTCTCGGCCTTGTGTGTGCGTGTAGGTGTCGGACCCAGCAGGAGACTTCCGCCCGGCCTACTATGTGCCGCCGCCGCCGCCGCCACAGCAGCAGCCGCAGCCCCTGGTCTTCCCACCAGGCTTCCTCTCTGGGCTGCACCTCCTCCCTCCACCACCACCGCCTCTGCTGCCCCCACCTTTCTCGGTGAATGCCCTGTCTGTGGGCACTGGTAAGAGCAAAGCTTCTATCCTCCAGGGAGCCAGCAAGGCCTTCCACAGGGGGCCCATGCAAAAGGGGTACGGACAGAAGGGATGCAGGGTTAGACTGCGCTGGGCCCTGGCATAAGCTTAGCCGCATGTCCTCCCCAGCCTCCATCAGCCTGCATCCGAGGGAGGCGGGAATGGGGTTCCCACTGGAGGAAACTGAGGCTTCCACAAGGTTCCTCTGGGTGTGAATGGCAGGGGAGGATTCAAGCAGGACTCTGGCTGGCTCTGAGTCCAATGCTTATTCTCCACCATATGGGCACCATGGGCAGGATGAAAGGACACTGCCTGTGAGACGTTATTCAAACCAGAGAGGCCAGGCGTCTTGGCTGGGCAGGGTCTCAACAGGGAGGAACCTGGAGTTGCAGCAGGAGGCTCTCTGGAGAGACACCAACAGGACCCCGAGAGCCTGCCTGAGTGGCTCTGCCACTGCTATGCCAGGAGGCCTGAGCTCTTGGCCTCAGTCTTCTCAGCCATAGAATGGGCCCCTCACAGGGTTACAGGGAGGGGGTCCACTGAGCTTCTGCATGTGAGAACACCTTAGGGTTTGAGAGCCCTATGGCTTTAAAGGTTACAGACTTTCTTCTTGTCTTCCTGAGCCTTCCTGCCTTATGTGTCGTTTTCACCTTGAGTTATAAGGGTCCCTCCTCATGAGAGATGGAACAGAACCTGAAGCCGTGAAAGTGTTAGTGACAGTTTGCTGTCATTTATTGCTTCACCCATCCAAGTGTGGCCAGGGCAGGAACATCTCACAGAAGGGCAGGCTGAGGGTCAGAGCGGTGGGGAACCGTGCCTACTGCCACCAGCTTGGGAGGAGGAGTGAGAGAGAGCTGACCACGGAATCTGTACCACATTTACCAGTCTCCTTGCTCAGCAAAGTAAAGGAAAATTCACTCTCCATAGAGCTGGGAAGAGTGAGAAAATCTTGTAGGAAATCTGCATCTGAGAATAGGTAACTCGCCCTCTTTCTAAATCCAGCTGCCTTCTCTGTCCTTCACAGATGACCAGGATGTGGAGGTGCCCGGTGAGCCTTGCCAGCCCTCATCTCAGGAGCAGTCTGACTAAGCCCAGCCGCCAGCCTTGCCAGCGTTGGGGGTCAGGGGTGGTGGCCATTGTTGTCTTGTCTGTGTTGTGTTTTTCAGGGAGGGAGGATGTTGAGAGGTATAAGGTGGGAGCTCATCCCCATTTTGAGATAGAAGGCAGGAGGGGTTGGAGAGGCCCTGGAGGGAGCATGGGCGAGAGGAGGCCAGGGCTCTGAGGAGTAGGGCTGGTGAAGCACACATTTGGGAATGAATTTAACCATCCTGAGTGCAGTTCAACAGACTCAGCCCCGGGGCAGTCTTTGACCGCCTCAGGCGCCTCTCAGGACAGAAGGTACCATTTATTTCAGCCTTCTGCGACCTCTGTCTGTCCCCGGTGCTGAGGCACCACTGCTCTCAGGTACAGCGGTCACCGGGGCGTTGACAGCAGGTTCTGCAGCGTCCCTGCCTTTGCCTGGCGTGCCCCTCACCCCTTTGCTGGAAGGTGTCCTGACCACCACAGCCATTTCACTTCCTTCCACTGAGTTTAAGCTATGATAGGCCTCATTTTTGGTTTAAAAATCTGTTCAAGTTTTATTATTTGATGTTTTTCTAGTTGGGAGCCCTGATGCAGTTTTCTGAGAATAGAGTGGTGTGCTGAATGGGCTGTGACCTCAGGGGTTTCTTCCCTGGGGACAGTTGACTGTTGAAATAAAATAAGCAGCAGAAATCCTGGCGGAAGGTGTGTGCTCTGTAATCCTCATGGGAGGCTGTGTTAGGCAGGAGCCTGGGCTGGGCTGGGAGAGCCTAGTACAGCGCCTGTCACCTAGGCAAGTCCTTCCCGTGCAGTAGGCCTGGTCCAGGGGACCTTTTTTTCATTACACTTAAGTTTTAGAAAGACTTTTCAGCCAGGCAACACCAGTGAATAAGGCTATTTTCCCAATGTGATGAGCGCTTCCAGGCCTGCAGGCTAACCACTGGGAGGCCCCGGCACAACACAGCCCGTGCAACAAAGCAGTGCGTCCTGCTGCAGCTGGGCCTCGGTCCCCCAGGTCTGTGGGCTAGCCTGGCCCGGTGGGGCCCGTGTCGCGACCCTCCCTGCACCTGGGCTCTTGCCGCGGTTCCTGGCCCCCCCAGGTTTGGGACCCATAAGCCTGGAGCCTTCACAAGTGGCGATGCAGCCTGCGCTCCTTGAGCCTCCGCTCTCCGCCAGCAAAAGCAGCAGCAGCATGGCGCGGAGAACCGGCGCTGCCCGCTGCTCTGAGAACTGGTACCTGCATCTTGCACAGGACGCGCTAACCCGCTGCCCGGCGCCTCCTTCACCAACTGGCCTGGCCAGGCCCTGGAGGGGGTGGAAGCAGGCGGAAAGGCTCAGGGGAAGTGCTGCTATCCTAAAGGGCTCAGGTTGGGCTCCTAGCCAGAGAATACTCTGGAAGGAGCAGGTGGTGGGGCTCTTCCGGCCGCCCACAGAGGGCGCACTGCCACGGCTGGGGCTGGGGCTGGGCCTGTTGCCTAGCAACCGGACGCCTGAGCGCCTCTAGCCACGCTGCCCGGTCCTTCACACCCCGCAACCCCGCTGGGCGTGCAGAGATGCGGGGGGCTCCCCGGGAAATCGACATTATGAGCTTCTCGCCCTGCTCTGAACCAGGAATGCCTGCCTTTGTCTTCAGACTCCACCCCCAGCAAGCCCCGCGTCCCACCTCTCTTCCCGCTTCCCTTCCCGTCTGCGCAAGGCACATGGGGACTCCGCTGCCTGGGCTCCTTCGGCTGCGCCTGCTTGTCCCCGGGCGTCTTTGCACTTAGGAAACCAGTCCTGAATCCCCACCTGGACCCGGAGGTCACAGGGCCCGCCCTGCCCTCCGTCACTTCGTGGCTGTCCCTCCCAGAAGGCTTGGAGCTTCCTGGCAGGAGTGACTAGGTCTCATTCGTCCCTGTGACCCCAGCTCCCAGGCCAGGTACTGTGGGGTGCCTATTGCTAATGAACGCGTGAACTTCAGCGCGTCCTGTCGTCTCGTGGTGCAGGGCTGAGCTGCCCTGCCTCGGCTGCTCTCTGCAGTACCCTTTGCCTTGCATCTTTGATCCTGCTGGGACCTCACGCAAGGACTGGTCTCTCTCAGTGAAAGTGCACGGTATGCAAGCACTCTGCCCCTTTCCTTCTGTCCCTGGACTCAACCAGGGTAAAAGGTTTTGTTTTTGCTTTTTTTTTTTTTTTTTTTTTTTTTAAAGGAAAGGGAAGCATAATGGATGGTGATTTTCTGAGTCATGTAGTTTTTAAGTGGTAGAGCCCCGGGCAGAACAGAAGCATGGTTGAGGGCGGGTGCCAGTTATAGTTTTTGATGCTCATTTTGTCCTAAATTGCCATCCTGAGATTTTTTGAACACAAAATGCACAATGGCACCCTAGCTTCTGGGCGCATTCTAGTACAGCACAAAGGAGAGCGGCCTTCGAGCACGAGGCCCACTCACTGACCAGCACCTCCTGAGAGAACCCTGCAGTTGGGTGTGGGCATCTGGGAAGCGCCTTCAGGGTCCCTCATGGGGTTCTCCATGAGCCCCATTGCATGAGCTGGGATGGGCAGGATGTTTTTGTGCCAAGGGTGGAACAAGGAGGAGAGGTGTCTTCTAAGGCTATGCCTCTGGGTTGTTGTCCCCTAAACTCCACTGGCGAAGCCTTCTCACCACAACTTTCCCGTTCTTTTTGGAGATTACAAAATGTGCCCGGGGCCTGGGAGAGGGGATGACTTTCTTTTCTCCTGCAGCCTGTGGACTTTCATGGCTTCTCCTGCTCCTGAGCACTGTGGTCTTGGTGGCCAGTGCATAGGCCCCTCCTACGGAGAGCTTCTTAGAGGCCCTGGAATGTGTCCTGGGTCCTCCTTGGCCAGGGCCCAGGGACTCAGGAGACCACACTCCTCCTCCTTGCCTCTTCCTAGCTGTGTGCTCTTTGGCACATCAGGCAACCTCTCCACACCCTGCTTTGCCCTTTGGTAACATTGGGCAGCGATGCGCCCATGCGACAGCTCTTGTGTGAAATACTTCTGCCCCTGCCTCTCAGTGCTAGTATGTGGTACCTGTGTCACTGGGTGGATGAAAGCAGCCTCCTCTTTGGGACAATGGCGAGAGGCTGAGTCAAGGCCTCCAGCTGTAGTAGGTCTTAACTTCTCGGTGCTCCCCAAATGCCAGGGACTTTTGGGTGCTTTCCACAAGTTCTGTGACATGTCAGTGCAGGCACCCTAATACCTCATCCTACAGAGGGCAAAACCGAGGCCTGTAGAGCTGAGTCTTCCCCTCAGCCTGGCTGGCTCAGTGGCAGAATTAGGTTAAATTCTATTTCTGCCCAATCCAGGGCCAGGTTCTTAACCACACTACTCTCCTCAGAAGGGGTGACCTATGAGTCTTGAGCCATGGCACAACCACCCCCAGCCCTTCCAGGACTTACTGAGCAGCTGAAGTCCACCCAGACAGCTGGTTTTCCATGGCTGTAGATAGGCTGACAAGGAACAAGTAGCTCAAGTATTACATAAGGAACAAAATGATCTTTAAACAATTGTTTGAAACTCTTTCATCTTGCAAATGAAAAAAGAAGCATAGTGGTGATTTTTTAAAATAATAAGTATTAATAGTGTATTAAAATTTAAGCCAAAACTCTTATTTTTAAATTTTCTTCATTCTGCTTACTTCTTAAAAAAATTTTATTGGTACATTTTATATATACATAATGATAACACTTATCATAGGGAATTCGTACCTGTACATGACATATCTTGTTTCTTCTTTTTTCCCCCATTCCCCTCCCCTCCCTTCAATCCCTCTTTCCCTCCTTATTTCACAAAAACTTTGCTTCCATTTTTCCCTTCCAGTTTCTTTCTTTCTTTCTTCTTTCTTCCTTTTTTTTTTTTTTTTTTTTTTTTTTTTTTTTTTT